TGTTTATCCAAAAAGGAATCCTAAATCTTTCTCAAAGTCCCTGCTTTCCAAGAGACGCTCCTGTTCTTTGTATCTTTTATTTGCCCTTACATTGCCTTGCACCTAGCTATGCTCAAAAATTGTATTATTATTGTTATTATTTTGGCCTCTCAGATAAGCAATATGGGTCATACGGCAATAATAATTTGTCTGTCATCACTCACTCTTCCACTTCCCATTGCTAACCTGTGCTAGCTGTAAGCCTTACCAGCAAAGATGCTGCAGTGCTTGTTAGATTGGTAAAAAAACTATCTGGCCTTTAGTCAAAAATGAATTCCTAGAGGAATCCAACGCAAAAAGCAAAAAATTACGTAACTTTCTGGATGTGTGCAAAGCATTAGCCAAATCAAATCCAGAAGCACCAGTACCATTTTCATCCTGTTACCAGGCATCAAATAGACAGAAGGAAAAGTTATTTGTGTCCAGCTATGGAAGTCAGAAGGTTTGGGGCTGAATCTGCTACGGAGTTCAYGGAGGACATCGGGCAGGTAACTAAATCGCACCTTTCTGTGCAGTAAGAAAAGTGATATCACCTGTAACCCATGGTGTTGCAATGCTGAACTCTTCAATGCCTCTTAACACTGGYGGAGCAGTCACCTACACCTTCAAGAATCATCTTCAAGCATCAGCCTCATGTGCAAGCTGTGGGATAAACTAGTCCTCCTAAGGTGGATGCCTCCAGGGATGCTTGCTTGGGTGGATCAGCTCTCTCTGGGGGTACCCGCTTGTCTCCAGCTCCTTGGTGTGCTCCTAATCCTGTTTTCTTCCAGCAGCCTAACTCAATAGGTACTTAACATTTACACAAAAATGATGTTGAACTGGAATTAATTAAACTGAATTATATTTCAGCATTGGCAGGGATCATTTTTGGAGGATATCTAAATATATAGAAAAATGATGTGTAGCTACTTAGCCAAAATATTATAGCATAAATTGGGGATCTCTACTGAATGACAGAATGGCATCATGTCACCTCCATGCCCAGGGTGTCACAATGCTGTCACTCCAAGATGAAATGAATTGTTTGACAAGAATGGAGCGCATGATGTGTCTCCTAAGGTAACTATGACTGAGTCATTTATATTTCTAGTTCTTGCTCTCTCTTCCAGTCATGCCACAGATGGCAGGAAATAGAAGTCAAACTAATTTAATACAGACAGTCAGCTCACAGTAGCATGTATTTTGTTTTTTTTTTTTTTTCCCCCTTATCCTCATGAAGGATACGTGAAAACATATTCACATAATCACAGAATGGTTAAGGTTGGAAGGCATCTCTACAGATCACCTAGTCCAACTGTCCTGCTCCAGCAGGGACACCCAGAGCACGGAGCACAGGGTGGCATCCAGGCGGGTTTGGAAGATCTACAGGGAAGGAGACTCCACAACCTCCCTGGGCAGCCTCWTCCAGGGCTCCTGTTCTTTCAAATAAACGAACAAAACAACATAACTTCCTCCAAAATAACCCCAAAAGCCCAATTCTTCTCACTCCCCATCCAAAAGAAATGGCATAGTAGAGTTAATTTACCCAAAGTCATAAAATGATGCAATTACTTCAGTGACAGTGCAAATGCCTCCCCCTGTGGTCAAGTAAGGCTGGAATTGACTTGAAACCACTCAAAAATAAAGTTGTTAAACAGACTCTTCATGGAGCTTTTCCCATAACTCAGGAATTAACTCTGGAATTTGCCRATACAGTAAAAGAGATTTTACTGGTACCACTGCCCATCAGAAGCCAAAATCATGACTTGAGCAGAACCTATGTCTGTCTTTTGGGAGAAGTTTTATCAAACAATTCTGTCATATCTAAGAGAAATCAACTCAATATACTGCTTTCCTTATAAGATCAGACTCTTCTCTTCCCTTGATAAGTCAGGGACAGATATTTTCCTGATTTCCACCTATTTTCAGAACTCTGAAACACTGAACATCTATCACCAGGATTTTAGGCAGTAGCAAATTAAAGCAATAGTCAAGATGTAAACACGTAATTATGRAGATTTGCTGAAAGTAGGACTTGTTGAAAATAGGAGTCAAATCATATAGCCAAAGCTTGAGAGGAGACATTCCTTTTGGCTAAGAAATACTGCACAAAGATCTCATACAATGCAAGAAAAAAAAAAAAAAAGAGCTCAAAGAGATGTCATACAACAGTCTTGGAGATGAAGGTTCATTACTTTTGAAGCTGCTTGATCTGCATCATCAGAAGACAGGAATTTTCAGCACCAAACTAAAGAATTATATTTTTGAATTCCTTCAAATATATGTAGATCTGTCTCCATGAAGCATATCTGAGCCTAGAAGATATGGTGTCTTGCGTAGTAAATAGAAAATGTTTATAAGAAAGCCTTTATAAAATTCTGGTACCTGATTACAACTCAGATGCCTCCCATGTGCTGGTAGCTCAAGAAATTCTCAATCTATCAAATACAAGTCTGCAATCATTCTATTAAAAACAACACTCCAACCAAATATATATATAAAAAAAACAAATCAGAACATTTGTATTTCTGAAAATACATCAATTGTTCAATTAATATCTTGAATATCCTAATTTTCACAGCTATCATGTAGACTTTTGTTAGCCTCCCTTCAAACAGATGCTACATGAGAGGACAGCATTTCCTGAGCGCTGAGGAAGGATGTCAGTGGCCATGCATCATTCCCAGTGTCAGGAATAGCATGCCAAGCTCTGAGGAATGTCTCCAAACTCAGATATTAACCTTATTTTTTAAACCACTTTTGCCTGGTGACTCCATTGAGCCAGAAGTGGGATGCCCAAAATCTTCTTTCATCCACTGGCCCCTCTCTACAGAGCTCGGGTACTTCCCTTTCATTGTGAAACTGGGAAGAAAATAAGGAATGCCAAATATTAAATGAGGAAAATGAAGCACTTCCAACAGACATTATCGAAATAAGATAATGTTAATAAAGATAAGATAATAAAATAAGAAAACCCAAGCATGAAAATCTATTTAAAATATTGTATTTAATGTAAATAATCTCTTCATGAAAACTATGGCTCCAATTTCTGAGTTTGAATCTGGAATAAAGTTGCTGAGGATCAATAAATTCTTTGAAATTTATAGCTACGCATAAAATCTGACCCTATGTCAGCATTTGTAAACCAGGTATTTAATAAAATCTGAGGGAAAGATTTAAATTCCATCTCCTGAAGTGAAAGAATCTGAAAGCACATCCCTAAAATGAAGAACTCGGGAAAAAAAATGGTCAGTATAATAGACCTATAGAGCTTTATAGCTTAAAAGTGCTGTCCAAATATTAGCTAAATCCTTACTATAAACCTGCAAGGCAGATAAGATGGAAGCACTTATGCTAAAAATAAATAAAACCCAGAACTGTCTCATATAACTGTAAGATTTTATTAAAAATAAACAGGGCTGGTTGGTCTCCTTAACCTCAAGGTCACAAAACAAAGTGCCAGGCTCTGGAGGAGAGCAGCAGCAAGGAGCCCTCCGAAATCACTGTGTCTAATTATGGATTGCAGCGAATCTCCCTCCGCGTCGCGCTCGGTTCCGTCTTGGGGCATCAGCGTCAAGAACATCCAAATGCCACCAGGAGAGAGACACGCTACTTGTTAGGTCAACAGCCCCATCAAGGCTTCTTCTCATCGGCTTCATCACATTCGGGTCAAACGATATGTGCTGGGCAAATAACAGCGCAGCAGGGCAAATAACACCGAGCAGGGCTCTCGTGTTTGAGAAGGAGAAAACTTTTCTTTAAAAAAAAAAAGGATGAAATTTGGGTGGAAATCACAGGAGCGCGTCATGTGGGCGCTTGCTAAATAATTCACATCGAAGCCGGGCTGACCTCCTGAGCCTCCCATTACACCGCAGCAAAACGCATGCGGTTTTGGTGTTAATACGGACAATATCGGGAACGTACTGAGTCTTTGTGGTTCCAAGCAAGGCCACATTCTGCTGAAATTCTTCTAATCCTAAYGCCGACAGCAGCCGTTTGGCTGCGAGTGCCTTAGTACCCTGCAAGACGGGTTGTTTTTTAATGTGTTTTAGGGATGCTGGGGAGGGAAGAAGGGGGATCCCTGTGAGCTTAGCGAGGCTGCAGCCGATTCCTCGCGGAGACAAAGTGCTCGGTGTCGGGGCGGGCGGCATGTGCCCAGGAGGAGCCTCCGGGGCGGCCGCGCGCCCGGCTTCCACGCGCAGGGTCTGCCGCGAGCGTCCGCGCGGTGRCTAAAGACACCGACATACCTATATATACATACATACAAAGCAAGTACATATCGCGTGTATAAAGTAAGTACATATAACGTATGTATAATACACATAACGTATGTATKAAACAGGTATACATAAAATACGTACAAAAGAAGTATATATATTGGATGTACAAAACAAGTACATCTGTATAAATATATAGCACGTTATTTTTCATGTATATAGTAGTTGCGTGGAGAGAAATGTGCCGGCCCATCCCGACTCCCGGTGACTCCCAGCGGCCCCCAGGGG